AATGAAAAAAAAAAAAAAAAAAAAAACATTTTGATTAAAGAAAATCAAGGCAAAGTTTAGGACAATACAGATGTTTAACCCAGTTTATTATATTATTTCTAATGTAGAAAAAATAATAATTACTAATAATACATTATTAATATAATAGTATTTCAAATATATATTATAATATATATAATAATCTTAATAATAATTATATATATTTATATTTTATTTAATATATTGTTTATTGTTGTATTATTAAATACATTTATTATTAAAATTAAATGTGCAGTATTTAAGTATAAATAATAAAAAGTATAAAATATGAAATTTATTTTTAGTATATTTATTTTAGTCAGCATAATAAATACGTTTGTTGTACTGCATTTTTGCTGATTTAAACTTTTTTTTTTTTTTATATTACTGTAAATATTGCATTTAAAGTTCCATGCTTACTTGTAAAATGTAATGATTTTTCTTTTCTTGGAGATACGCTCACTTATGTTGATGTGTTTTGTGTTGGCAGGTTACCTGGCGTATGAGTTTGATAAGTTCTGGTTGGAAGAGGAGCCGGAGAGCATCATGGAGTTCAATCGCTACAGGGAGAAGTTCCACGACAAGGTCAAAGGTCAACTTCAGATGCCTGAGGTCACGCTTCTCATGACCGTGGACCAAGAAAAGTGATTCCAGCATCATTTCACAGACAAAAGGAAACCGCAACAGTTGATTTTCTCTTCTTTTTCCATTAACTTCATGATAGTTTTTAGTTAGGAAATGTACAACGTGGATGAAGCTTTATTTGAGTATTAATAATTAAACAGCTGTATAAACTGTACATCAAGGGTACATAGCTGGTTGTTTAGCTACATTGACCTGGTCAGGGAAAAGACTTACACTGTTAAGTATTATTAATAATACTTTCAAAGTGATGTTTTAAACTCTCCAATGAACAGATTGGAATCCCTTCACACTTGAACATTTTGGTCGTGGTCATGTGACTCCTCCTTCTTCATCTTTACCCATCTCAGGAAGATGATGTTCATGTTCATAAGATGTTAGGAAGTTGTTGTTTTTTCTGTATGCAGATGATTCAACCCCTTTGCATGTTAAAGTGCGTTTAAGTTGTATTAAACCCGCACCCATCATCGTCTGCACAATTCTTTGATGTGGCCTGCAGCGAGTATTTAATATCTAATCTGTTTTGTGAATATTGTTATTCAGACCTCAACTCAATTCCAAAGGACAGCATTTGTATGCACAAACGTTGATGTGACACTGTGTCGTTGTCTTATTTATAAACGGTGTTTGGTTTTGAAGATGTAACTTTTTATTCCTGATGACCCGATTAATTTTATAGTGTTGGATTCATATCTAATGTTGAAGAATAAAATTAGTGACTGAATATTCAAATACAAAGTTTGCGTCTTTTCATTGGTGGTTTGGCAATAAGAATTCATAGAAGTTTTTAAAATTTAATTACATTTTTTGGGTAATTCAGTTCAATTAATGCAGCTTTTCTTGTCTTCCATGTTATAACAGGTCACTTTTAATCATTTTTATTCATCTTTTTGCCTTTAGTAATAATTTGAAAACTCATACTGTATATGAATTTTTAAAAACATTCATTGCAGTCTGTCAACAAATAGGGTCGTAACATTTACATGCATAATAGCAATTTAGTTTTTTTAAATGATCATGATTTTTTGCATGACACCATAAATATTTAAGTAACTCATTTGTACCTGTTCCTTAAATTTTAATTTACATCATGATCATTTAAAGATTTTTTTTTTTTTGAAGAGACTCGTATCACTCTTATTCCACAAAGTACCACAACTTAATATGGTAAAAAAAATCTGCATGCATAAGCAAAATACTGTTTAAAAGTTGTTATACTATTGCATGTCAAAATCAGGTTTATAGAATTGAGTTTTATTTTTTAATGAACATCTACGTGATTAATGCATGATACCATTTTTTTTAAGAGATATGCAACTCTTATTTCACAAAGTTAACAACACAAGTCCACAGTCACCACAAAGACATCCGAAGGTTGTATAAAGGTGTTTATTGAAGCATATGTGCTTATCTTTGTCTTTTTTAGGTTTCCAGTAATGAGGCAACACTTTCTAGGTCATTCCAGGGTTACTTGTTGGATATTTAGGGTTAAATGGACATTAAGGTAAATAGTTGCTTTAAACAAAGCTCTAATTGCTTTAAAAAAATGAGGAAATATAAATATTACATAAACATTATGTACATTAACATATCAAGGGGCTGAGGTTCAGAAGATTTGTGCATTGTGTGATCAATGGTTGTATTGGGCAGCAGTTTTTATAGTGGTTTACCCTGAAAGAGAAAGGATGACAGTCATGATCTGGTTCTGGTGTTTCTGTCAGATGCATCCCGTAATGTTGCCTGTTTAACTTCCAAAGCGGAAGCATGAAACTGGAAGTTACACCTGTTCTCGTCATCGTCCTGTCAGAGGAATTTGAAACAGCTGCTCATGTGAGTCCGTGTGCTTGAAAGGATTTCAGTTGGAGGGGAAGATCTACGTGGTGGCCTCGACTCTGCTCCTGGACATCATCATGGCCCGCTTGAGCTGCTCGAACGACACGAACATCACCACGTTCCAGGAGCCCAGCCGCAGGAAAGATGGAACGAACCTGAAGGAGAAACACAGGAACGTTTCGGCTGTTAGTCAGAGATCATTTCAGGTGTGACGCGTTATGAGAGTATGATTTATTTAAGAGCATTAACTAATGATTTATCATGAAGTATGTGGCGCTCACCCTTTGTAGAAGGCGGTCGGACCCTCTTTGGTCATCATGGTCCAGGCACAGTTGAGGGAGCTCCTGTACTGTCCGGGCGGAGAGTTCATGTAGCGCGTCTTCACCACATCCACAGGAGACGCGATCACTGTCGTGATGAAACCCGCTCCGAACGCAGACACGAAATGACACGGAAGATTGTCTGTGATGAAAAAAACACAAATAAATATAACTGAAATTAAATGACTGATGCACCTAGAGTTTGGGCTTGGAGTATGAGTTTCTCTTGTTTCATTCAATGTGTCTGGTGTAGACCAACATTTTTTTTTAAGTATCGTAGCGTTATAGTTTGTATTGATGATTTGTATGTCTTTGTGTAGATTATATTGTGTGTGTATCTATCTATCTGTCTGTCTGTCTCTCTCTCTGTCTGTCTGTCTGTCTGTCTGTCTGTCTATCTATCTATCTATCTATCTATCTATCTCTCTCTATCTGTCTGTCTGTCTGTCTGTCTATCTATCTATCACTAAATATTAAATAAAAAGAAAAACATTAAATATATTGTCATTTTGTCTTGAAGTTTTTATTCAGTTAATTAAATAGTCACCTTATTGTTCTTCCATCTAAAATGGAATTGTTTTATTTACAAATAAAAAAAAATTATTCAATAAGTTATTTTTTTGTAGTATTTATATACTATAGTATTCATTAATATTTTGTATATTATTTTTTCATTTTCAGTTTTAATTTTAGTCATTTATGTGCTTTTGTCATTTTATTTATTTTTTATATTTTTTTATATAAATATATATAATTATAATACAAATATATTGTTATTTTGTCTTGAAGTCTTAATTTATCTTCTATATTTTATTTAGTTAATTAAATAGTTGCCTTATTGTTCTAAACATCGGAAATGTTTTTTTTTTTGGCCTGTATGTCCTGTATGCAAATTATTTGTTCGGTGTATTATTAATATACTACTAGTATTTATAAAAATTCTGATTAGGTTTTACTCATATATTTTCTGTTTTTATGTTCATTTTAGTTTAGGTTTTAGTAATTTTACTATGCGCTTTTGTTATCACATTTAATTTTTTTTCTATTTTATTTCTACTTACCTTTTATGTATTTTTATTTAATTTTTAGTCATTTTAAACTTCAGCTTATTTCAGTTATTTGCCAAAGGTCACATTTCTAATTTCATCTAATATTTATATTTTACTTTATTACAGCAATAACACTTTTTTTTGTTTTATTGGTGTCAGTTAACAGTATCAACTGGTTTTGATGGTGTCAGACACACTTTGTTCTCTGTGTGTGTGTGTGTGTGTGTGTGTGTAAACCTCATCACACCTTTGCCCTAATTTTACAGGCCCTTCACTACAAAAGTGCTGATGGCATGAATGAGACAGCGAGACCTGACCTGATCACCAGTACTATCTTATCTGGTGAAAGTGGTTTGTGCTGGTTCATTCTAGCATGTTTCACACTGGTTATTAGCGGTGCGGGACGCTTCAGCTGCGTCTCCTCATGGACTCCTGGCCTGATTTAGAGGCTCCGTCATACGCTGGCATATGTTTTGATTTTGGGAAACACTGTCTGCTGAAATCATGTTTTATGTATTTAATGATTCTGGTTTCTACCTAATAAAAATGCTAAATAGAACTGAGACTGGAAACATGAACAGTCAGAAATGGCTCGACCTGTTTATTGAAATCTCTAACTGAGTTGTTTAGGTTTCTGATTCTGAGCCCTGCCGTGAGTTTTCATACCTGACATGAGTTTATGTTTGAGAATGGCTTCCTTGATGAGATCGTAGGACACCAGTTCAGTGCAGTTGACCAGAGCGTTCCTCGTGATGTTGGGTAGAGTTCCTGTGTGGAAACAAATCAGATATAAAGAAGATATTCAGAGTCATCAGTGCTGTGCAGCTTAAGCAAAAACAGAGCTGGCGTGACAAAAACACATGCTTCTGATACAATTAAACGCCATATTTGGCTCTTTTCCACCTCACATGGCAATCAATCAATCAATCAATCAAATAGATATAAATAATTTTAGTAGTAGTAGTAGTAGTAGTAGTATATACTGGCCAAAATATGTTTTGAACATACGCTAAATCTTAAAGAAATGCATTTTCAAATTAAGAATATATTTACATTTATTTTATACCTTCAAATGCTAAATTATATTACATAATGCACAATAATAAAATGCACACATTTTTACATTTTTTTTCGTAATATAAACATATATAAAATATATCTAATATAGATATATAAATCTATAAATAATAAAAAAATCCAAATTCAAAAATATAAATTTTCAGTTAATCTTAATAATTATATTTTACATTTTATTATTCTTATGTGTAATATATAATTTTTGTAATTATATATTGTAATGTGTAATATATATATATACATACTGTATATATAAATAAATAAATAAATAAAAAATAAAATTTTATATTTTGCTATTTTTTGTATATTTTGAAATAAATGTAACAGTGTAAATATACATATATATTATTTTATTTTTTTAACTGATTCTCGGGCAATCTCATTAAGCATTACAACAAGTTTAGACAAAAATGTCTTTTTTAGAAATGATCTATCATTTCAAATAAAAATGATAGATCGATAAAGAACCTTTAACATCCACAGAATCTTTCCATTCAACAAAAGTGGGAAAAGGTTCTTTCAAATGTTCTTCACACTAAAAAAAGGGCTGTTGACTGAAAGGCTCTTTTGGGGAACCCAGAATAGTTCTTCTATGGCATCGCTGCAAAAAAACACCTTTTGGAAGCTTTATTTTAAAGAATGTAGCAAAAACGAACACAAAAACACACCTTTCCACAAGCCCCGGAGCCCCTCGTGCTGGAAGATCTGTCTGTAGGCCTGCATGGTGCCGCTGTAGCGTCTGCCCACCCCCTGCAGGTTCTTCTGGGCCTGGAAGCGCACCTTCACCACATCTGTGGGCTGAGCCACGGACACGGCCAGCGCTCCGGTGGTGCAGCCCGCCAGGATCCTGATGCCCACGTTGGGGTCTGCAAGGCAAAAATGACCAATTACTTCCATTCAAGAATCGGCTTTGTCTCAGATGTTTCTCCATCCCAATATTCCTGTTCTGGTCTGGGAGAAACAGCTGAGGTTTTCTTTTCTATTGAATGAAAAGCGGTGATTTTGAACTCACTGTCTTTGCCTCGTGTGTAGAAGCTCTTGACGCTGTCGTAGAGGCCGATTCGTATGGAAGCGAAGGCCATCTGTCTCTGAAGACCGGCGACCAGGCCGTTGTAGAGCGAGCGCGGCC